GGTGGCCTGTAGCAGATCCCCACCGTAATGTCACCTGTCCCTGCCCTCCCTTTAATTCTGACCCACAAGCTCTCAGTCAGCTCCTCATCCATCCCCAGGCAGAGCTCCATGCACTCCAGCTGGTCATTGACATAGAGGCCGACGCCTCCTCCTCGTCTCCCCTGCCTGCCCTTCCTAAAGAGCCTGTATCCCTCCATCCCAACACTCCAATCACAGGAGCCATCCCACCACATCTCCGTGATGCCAATAAGGTCGTAGCCCTGCAGGTGTGCGCACATCTCTAACTCCTCTTGTGTATTCACCATGCTACGTGTGTTTGCATAGAGGCATTTAAGTTGGGCCCCCAGTGAAGCTGTCTTACTGGCTGGAGTTCCTTTGTGCTGCTCTTCAGGTGCTCTCCTGCTGACCTGTGTTCCTTCCCCAGGCTCTGGGCATCTATTGTTGGCCCTGGCATCAAGCTGGTAGGAGTGGGATGGACTGAGGTTCCCCTCCCCCGGCAACTTTATTTTATTAATATTCAATTCATTATGTGTTTTCTTTTTAATGAAGAACAAGCATGGATATAAATCTATGTAAAAATTATTTGAACAGATTGCTAGAAAGAGTGCAGAAAAAATTTGTGTAATACATATATGGTCACGACTTCAGGAAAGTTTAGCAAGATCTTATTGCTTGTAAATGGAAACCAGCAAGGCGAACATACCTCATTACAAAGCGAATAAGCAGATCAGATGCATGAAGATATCATGGGTGAAAAGAATATTTATCTTCCAGAATATATCTAATAATCTCTAAAATAATCACTAAGAAATCTTGGATCAGTACCACCAAAGAAAGTATTCAGCAGTGCAGGTCAGTACAACAGGAAAACTGAAAAATTAAAGTTTCAGGAGGTAGGTACTAGTATAATTCTTAAATTAAGAGTAACTGAATTATGGAGCAGTATGCTTCAAGGCAGTTACTTATACCTTACTTATGTTGACAAAAGGATTTTTGTTAATAGACATGACTGGAGACAGTGAGTAGTCCTGAACAGATTAAATTTGTGATTGCGTGACAGTGCAGTCTGATTGTGACCTTGGCTTTTCTATAAATACTAAACCCCTTATACTTTCCTAAGTCATAAGACCTTTTCAAGGTGAGCTATGTTAGCATAACAAAACAGCTCCCCCTTTTTTTACAAAGTGCTTGTTTTCATTCTATTTATAATTGTTCAGCAAATTTCTTTTCATCCCAGCCAGCAGACCTATGCATGCATATATGTTACAACAACAACAACAACAATAATAATAAATGTTAGTTAAAATGTTCAGAATTTCTTTGCAGTCAATCTTATTCTGTAGCTAATTAAATCATCTAGTCACTATACAGTGCCTACTTGACTGCTTGGTCAGTAAGTTACGTTAGTAAAGATCATACATAATAAACCAAGCTCTAGATAATTCTTCAGACTCACCTAATGAGCTGGTTTTAGTTTTAAGTCTTTCTAACATGCTTATTAGACTAGTTAATTCTCTTCAGATTTCATTCAAAAAGCTTGTCAAAGACATAGTTAATCTTTTTGTACCTTATAGGTTATATATAAACAGAGCTTGATATAATTTACCAATTTTCTCAGTAGTAACACTGGTAATTCAAAACTATCATTGTTTAAGATTGTTCTGTCAGACGTCAGTTACCTTGTTGACATTTACAAGTGTAGCCATTGATATGATCTTCACAGGTTGAGCCATGTAGACAAGGTGATGAATTACACTCATTAACTTCTATTTCACAAAACTGTCCAGAAAATCCAGCAAGACACCTGAAGCAAACAACATTCCAAAGTGTTATACTATGCATAACCATCATATAAAATACACTTTGTGTGGAAAAAATTTGTATAAAGTATGTGCATTAACAAGACACATTCTCATATATTCCTTTCTGTTTTAAGGAGTATTTTACTGGAACTCTTCCAAGTTTCACACTGTAATCCATGGTGATCTTTTAGGGGATTTATGACGGCAAAACCCATCCACAAATTTCACATCTGTATCATAATCAAACCTAACAGTCTCAATTACAGTTTACTGGTTCTAGCAAGGTAAGTACAAACCTTCCTTAATGTACTCTTGAGAGACTGTTTGTCTACTAAAATAGTTTATTTAGCTAAGTAACTGCAGTCTATGTTTGGAAAACTGCTTGTTGAGAAATGTTGCACCATTAAAGGTAACTATAGCATAAATGCTAACCTTCAGGGGCCATGCTTTCATTAACATTCTAGTTATCAAATATTAGTCATCTTGAAAAAACTCTCTGTAGTTTTCTGGTTGTATGTATGGATCTATGTGATCATTAATACCTAAATATTTCCACATGATTTTAACATATAACTATATAACTGACCCAAATAGACTCATAAGACCTCTAATGAAGCTCAGAAATCTTACTAATCTCATTATTGAGACACATCCTTGCATATATACGCACAGCTTTACAGATATACTCAAATATGTTCTGCAAAACAGAGCCCCATAATGGTATTTACATTTACTCTTTTGTGATGTGTTGTACACGGATATATTTCACATGAGGTGGTGCATTCAAAAACTCCTGTTAGCAACCAGGTGATGCACATCTTGTATGCTGTCTTGGCTCTAATGAAGAGCATAAAACTTCACACTCCACTTAGAGGAAGATGAGTACATTAACAAATTACCTTTGAGTAAATTAGAATAGTCATGTCACCTACTCCTCAAGGTGCTACATTGTGTGAATACAAAACACATCATTAGAATGAAGACTCTGCAGTGTCTACCTTAGCTTTCCAGATCCTGAAGCAAAAGAGGAGGATGGACCACAGAACACTTCCTGAAGGATCATTACACTATGTATCAGTAATTATGTCTTGGTTTATTTCTGCCTTGACTATTAGAACATATTTTTTTCATTTTATATGGAATACACTCTGGGTAATGGGAATTTGGAATCTACCAAGACAATGACAGCAGAACAGATTTTCTAAAGTCTACATCAACTACAGATGACAGCGATGGCATACTGCTTGGAAAATGTACAAACTGATGCACACACTACTATTTTTCAGATATCTAATAATGTGTGAGAGAAAAAACATGGATAAGGTTTAATGAGTGAGCCGTAAGGCCACTTGTATAACCCTTTGGCCACAAAACATTAACCAAAATCTACTGAGGAGATATAGTTTGGCCTTTCATCCCACTGGCAAACATCAAAGCCTAGGATTTAGAACTGGATTCATCCCACCTAACCTCACACACCTAACTGTAATAACCCTAGGATTTTCCTATGCTCGATGGAATAAGGGGTGCAAAGGAAGATTCTGTTCACTGAAAGCTTAAATAATTTTCTGCAGATACCTTTGTCTTTTCACTGGCCACATAGCATTTTAAAAAAAAAAGAAAAAAAAAATTGAAGGGAGCAACTTCGCCCAGATATGGGAAGGAGGACCAGAAGGATGAATGCCTGTAAAATAATGGAAAGAATATTCTACTGGAAAAAAAGGTAACTAGACACAGGGAATACTGGGACAGTTTAAAATCCATTCAACTTTAGCTTTATACCTTGATGTGCTTATAGGCATTTCACTTAAAAAAAAAGTGGTTACAACATAAACTGAAAGAAATATACATTTATTATGTAAAAATTCTGGACAGAATAACTATACCTATGTGTATCTAAGGTGAGTGGGCTTGATGTTTTAGTGTGTAAAACTCAAACACTGAGAAATTACAGATGGTCAGTCCAGAAATACAGATGGGTTCTGCTCCTTTGTAGCTTGATGGCATTAGGGTACACTGTGCACCGGTGTCCACTGGAGCCTTACACTTCTGTGGATCTGATGTGCCAGGCCACCAAATCCACACAGTCCAACAAACCCAGCTGTCCCTTTCCTCCACCTGGCTGGAGGCAGGGCCCTTCTAGTCCTGGTCATAGTATTCGTTACTCACTTCTTGTAAATATGAATCAAAAGTCCCTTTATTAAGATTGGAAGTAAAATCAGCCCTTCTGCTCTGTCTGGGGAACTGCTCACTAGAAACTGGAGCAGCAATTTTCCCGGAAAAAAACCCTTTTGTGATTGTTTTTCCTTGCAACTCATGTACCCTGAGCAGAGGGACACTTACTCCTAATGGTTGAGATACTGGTCCTTTCAAGTGGGGAGTAGGGCCTATTCTCTTTGAGTTGCTGGAACTACCAGGACAGTTTTTCGGACAGTTTTTCCACTGCTGAGACGCAGGCCTGTAGGGAGGAAGAGAGACTTTCTTCATATTGCCGGAGTTGGCCAGCCAATTCATCCACCGTTTGTTCCTCTCCATCTTTCCAAGTTATTACTGCCATTGAGTTGGCATATGACGATGGTGCGCTCCGTACAAACTTCCGCCACATGGGTCGTGTGCACTTGACTTCGTCTGGATCTTTGGATACCTGTTTGTTCAGGTAATCATAAATCACCTCCAGCATGGCTAATTCCCTCAGGTACTGGATACCTCTCTCCATGGTGGTCTACTTGCCTGGGTGACATATAACATCTTCCTTGAAGGGATACCTTTCCTTCACGCCTGACAGGAGTCGCCTCCGGAGGCTGAGGACTTGTGCCCCTTTTCCAATCAATTTGTCAATGCCCCCTTCCCTGGAAAGGGATCTCAGCTGCTTGGCTTCTTTACCCTCTAATTCCAGGCTACTGGCCCCATTATCCCAGCATCAGAGCAGCCAGGTGACAATGTGCTTGCCTTGACAATGGTTGAAATCTTTTTGCATATCTCGCAGCTCACTCAGGGATAGGGATCAGGTGGTTACCATCTCATTTATGGGTTCTGCCTCTTCCTGCTCCTGTTCTCGTGATGACCCTGGTTCATCTTCATCCCTTACTAAACAAGCTGATTTTCTTGTGTATTTCTTCTTGTGTATAGGGGTGACTGATACCGGCACGGGTTGGTTCTCTGGTTCAGCCACAGTGCCTGTCGCTGGGATTTGAGTAGCTGCAGTGCCTGTCACAGTGGTTGGAGTAGGCCGCAATGCCTGTCGCCAAGGTTTGAGAAGCCACAGTGCCTGTCGCTGGGGTTGGAGTAGCGACAGTGCCTGTCGTGGGGGTAGATCTCTGGATGGTATTCTTAAATAATTGTTTAACCTTAAGCGACAGTGCCTGTCGTGGGGGTAGATCTCTGGATGGTATTCTTAAATAGTTGTTTAAACTTAAACAAGACATGAGCCACATTCAGGAGACATCAATAGGAACATGCTGGTTTGAACATCCCAAGGATGTTCAAAATTCGCAAGAGCTGTTGTAACTCGCCTGAAGGAGAAAGGGAAGGTGAAGAAGCGGGGGAAAGTGTCCCCCCCCGTCTCACCCATAGAATGGTTCCCCGAGGAGAAAAGGTAAAATGTATAATTATTACTAGTTTCCGAAAAGTGGCGCCTGAGGTATGGAGATGACGGCAATGCCAGTACAAATACCAGATTAGTCTCATGACCAATAATTTTTTCATATCATAAACAGTGCAGCAAAATGATATTCTTGATCCAGCTCCCAGAGGCGATAGACAGCACAACAGGGAACATGCACAGCAAGTAAGGTGTTAGATAACACAACTTTGAGAGCAAGCGCGACAACTTTGAGAGTAAACTAATCAACATTGTGACCAGCGACTGTTAAACCAATATGATGAATGTTTATAACAAATTTGCCTTAACACGCTCTGGTCAGATCTGTCATTATCTCAACCCTTCGTACCCCACATTGGCTCCAAAAGGACTGTTGTGGTTTAACCCGGTAGGCAGCTAAACACCACACGGACGTTCGCTCACTCCCCCGCCAGCCACAGTGGAATGGGGGAGAAAATCAGAAAAAAAAGAGTAAAATTTACAGATTGAGATAAAGAAAGTTTAATAGGACAGAAAAGGAAAGGAAAATAATAATAATAATAGTAGGACTCCATCACGTGTAACGGTTACTTGGGAAGACAAACACCATCACTCTGAATGTCCCCCTTTCATTCTTCTTCCCCCAGCTTTATATGCTGAGCATGACATCATATGGCATGGAATATCCCTGTGGTCAGTTTGGGTCAGCTGTCCCAGCTGTGTCCCCTCCCAGCTTCTTGTGCACCCCCAGCCCACTCGCTGGTGGGGTGATGTGAGAAACAGAAAAGGCCTTGACTCTGTGTAAGCACTGCTCAGCACTAACCAAAACATCCCTGTATTATCAACACTGTTTCCAGCACAAATCCAAAACAGAGCCTCATACTAGCTACTATGAAGAAAATTGCCTATCCCAGCCAAAACCAGCAGAAGGTCTTTTTAAGAACTCTCCTGTTGGCAGCTTCAAGTGGACACATTTTTATATGTGATGTGTATATTTGCTGAAGAGTAGAACCTAGTAAACACAAGAGCAGTTTACAGAGTTACTGTGGTCATAACTAATTGGAGCAAGAATAACTAGTGGAGCAGGTATACGTATGATATAACTCCAATGAAGAGAATCAATAGAATAGAAATAGCTTCATATTACAGGATACATCTTGGATGAGCTTTGGATGATTTTCTACTCAGCAAGGCTTGAGACTTCAGAGACACAAACTCTAGGCCATGGGCCTAACTCTATAGACACTGAGGTAGAAAAACAGAGCTGTAACAGTAAATATATATATATATGTATATGTATAAATGTTTGGTAAAATAATCTATTTTGTACTGAAAACTTGCCAAATCTTTATTAAATGTATAATACCATTTAAAGTGATGGTGGCACCACCAAAAAAGAAAAGTTATAAAAAATATGACTTT